ATGCATGGATGCATGGATGCATGTATGCATGGATGTATGTATGGATGGATACTTATGTATGTACGTATGTGTATGTAAGTGCGGATGGACGGATGGATGGACGGACGGACGGATGGATGTATGGACATATAATGACATATACGTACCTACATGCGCAGGCCTATATGCACGAGATTCCCCTTGCACCGCAGATGTGGAACCGAGGTGCAGATTCGTTTGATCCTGAAAACCAAACAGTTCTCTTGCTGCGGTGCTCGAGCTCGTCATTTCTTGAACTTCAGCCTTCGGGGCTTTCGGACGTCATCCCAGGCTGCCCAGTAAGATTTGCCAAATCTCCCGAAAACAGATACTGTATGATACTGTAACAACTCCCATACTGTGCTTCTCAGAAGAGCCTTCTGCATGTCTCTGCCTCAAATGCAAAATCACTGTTAGGACGAGCTTACGAAACTCCATTCTACAAGCAGACCGATTGTAAGTGCCTGTGCACTCGAACAGGACGTCTTGTGCTTCAACGTCCGAGTCCTTCAAGGGCCCCCCAATCCATCAAGCTGAAAGCTCCAGGTCCCAGCGTACCCTCGCATTGAAGGTGACCAGCGCTCGCTTCCGCACTTCTGGAGCCGGGGGCGGGTTCTCAGTGAAATCCTCAGCTGTCCACACCGGGTGAAGGATGGAAGACCCACTGTACTCGGATGTCCAGGAACCACTACTCACAAATCCCCTCTCCGCCCTCTGAGGGTCCGAGCGAGGCTGACTGCCCTTCCGATGCGTCCAGGCTCCATCTTCCACAACCAAGAAGGCATCGTGGTTTCGGGATCAGTCTGTGGCCTACTATGGGGTCTTTCTTCGAGACTCACACCTCCTCTGCATCGTTACCTACCATGCTTGTGCGACAGGACATGTAGCCAGCAGTTTAGCACCTCCAAACAGAAAGTATGGAGAACACTGGAGCCCCTCGACACTGCAAGATCACCCTGGAGCAGCAGGGCTGGCTGGCCTGCACCGGACAGTCGTCATGTGCCCGATGCGCCTGTAAGACCTTTACATTGCGAAAGAGCCAGTCGGGAAGCCACAGGTGTGTCACAACTTGAACGACTGTCACCACGGCATTGTGCTGTCAACAACAACACTGATTGCAATGAGCAGGTATCGCCGCTGGATCATGTTACGATGTGAGTATCGGGTGGACAGTTCTTCGCTTCGGGTGCATGCTGATCTTGGCCAAGGGCGCTGAAATATCGTACATGTCAGGACTTCTGCAGGCACCGGACGAACCAGACGTGATTGTATGATTGCTATGGAAGTGGTGTGCAGACCCCTGCTGCCCGGAAGTGGCACGGTTCATCACGGTTCCACGGCAAAAGTTAAACTCATCCCGTACACCTAGATACCAGCGATCGTCACCGATACTTCACAACGTCACATCATGCTCGAAGCAGCTCTGCCGGGCACACCTGCAAGTCCAACTGCCGCCGGGCCTGGCAGCAAATCGTATTTTCAATGACACGAGCCTATGGCACAAACGCACACGCATGCGCACACACCCACGCACACACGCACACACACACACACACACGCGCGGGCGCGCGCCCACGCACATACCCACGCAAACACACACACACACACACACACACACACACGCACCCACCCCTGCCCCTGCGGCGATGCCCACGTTCATGCCCAGGCCCACTCCCATGCCCACACCTACGCCAACTCCCACACCCATGCCAACACCAACACCCACACATACACACAGACGCACACAGGTTAGCACAAGAGCAACCATGATTGTCAGGCTAACAGCACGGCCGGTTTCTAGACCTGTCCGGAACGCAGCTCTGTGCGGCATGACTGGGCAAGCGACCAGCAGCAAGAGGACCTGAGAGAGATCTGGAATATGTTCTACAGTACGCCTTGTCCGATATGTGTAAAACGGGAACCATCCTCGTGCGCTGACATTTCCTTACTCTGCATGGTTGCTTGGGACACTGACTGGGACAAGTCCAGCACAAAGGCTCTAGGCTCGTGAAGGCGATAGACTTCACATAGGTAACCAACTACATGGAGTCGCAGGTGCTCCTGAGCAGCAGTCAGTACCTGACCGGGGCTCAGGCAAGGTAGCGCCAGCGACCTAAAAGTAACACTGTCAACAAGATTTCTGAGTCGGTGCTCATGTGGAGGCAATGGGTGACTTAGCCTACTATGCTCCGAACATCATGTTGCGCGCAAGCTCAACGAGTGACACCATGCGACAAGACTCCGGATAGATGACTTGCTCAATGTTATACCTACACCCCTTTTTTCGAAGGACGCAAGTCTCGGTCAGGCACGGCCAGCAGGCGCATCCTCGCCTGCGACCTTTCTGAGACAATGAGGGGTTGCAATTGGAGATGGCAGCACAGTGAAGCGGTTGCCTATGTGCAGAGAAGCTGTGGCAGCGAGCCTTACCATGACTTGAAGAGTACGTAAACGCTCGAATTGTGCACCAGTTAATGAAACATTCAGCAGAGGAAATAATGGGTTAGCAAATTTATTACATAGTATCTTTATCAATATCATGTAGATCTGAAGCATATACTACTGGAACGTTGGTTAAGTTGCATGCGAACATCACATGTTCGACGAGTATTGAATGAATTCTTGAAATTTTCCGATTTGTTCAATGCTACTTACATATACGTCGAGTGCTTGGCACTGCACAGTAACAAGATTTCCGGCGAATATTTAGATGCGCTTTAACTATTGCATTAATCTGTAACGGTGAGACACAGCCTGAAAGCCATGTAGATATTAAGCGCTAAAAGAAAATTTAGTGGAATGATGCAGCGAGCGTGACGTGACCCAAACACCAAACGAGAAATACACAGAATAAGGGAGCAGACATTTAATGCTCTACAGGTAGGCTTGAAATAGCAAGTAAAGAGTATCTACACAGTCGTTCTGTGCGAATGATACGCAACATTCAAAATACGTGTTAATTAACCACTGCTTAAATATCTGTCATGCTTGACTAAGTAGTGACGACCTGTGCATCACTAGTTTTTGCTTGCAAAGAACTCTGCGATAAAATCTGGAACGAACTATTGCTCAAGGCTTGTGTGAACCCATTTGAAACTTCCCCTCTTGTTGAAGTAGCAGTTAAGAACCAGATTGAACATCAACTAGGTATCAAACCGAGATTTGTATATGTATTGGGCACTGGGTCGTGGTGGTCTGGTACACACAGACATACGTAGATATAGCCATACCCACAACCATTGCCAGAGGCAGAGACATGGACATAGACGTATACCGTACACCTGCATCCATATCCATAGATACATACATAGATCGGTGGATGGATCGATCGATAGGTAGATATATATATATATACACACAGACATATATATATATATATGTATATATATATATACATATATATATATATATATACATATACACATCACATACCCCACACACTGCTGCTCAAAGGCTCCCGGCGCTAGCCGAGCTGGAGGCTGCTGAAGGCCTTCCACTGGGGCCTTGAATTCGCAAGGAAGGCTCTGATGATCTCTCCTTTGATTTGTGGCTTAAGGCTTACGGTGTGCTTTTCATTTGATTGTTTTTCGTTGGACCTGGAAAAGAGGATTGCAAATCTGGCAAGGGCAGAGGCTGGACCCCGTGCACGCTGCATAGAAGTTCACTGCTGGGTCGTGAAGACAGAAGAAGGCGCCTGGCCCGCTGGTTCAGGATCGTATCCGTTAATAGGCGCTCCTCTTTACGACTCGGGGTGTCCAAGGCTTCCTCTCGTGGTAAGGGTGCGCCATCGAACAAGAACTCCTCACACTCGTAGCAAGCATGCCACGAGACAACTCAATGCTTTGATGGGTGTTCTGGCGGAGCACAGATCGCGACGGTGGACGCATGTCCAATAGGCTGGGGACTACCTTTCACCAGGAAGTTAGGTCAGTTCAACAAGGCTGTCTAACAACCCTCTGAAGCCCTACGTGCACGGCAGTTGTCTAGGCTTGCGTTGTCCAGTTTCGGTCTTGCCGGTTGCAAGGGAAGGGTTGCTTTGCAGGCCGAGCATGTGTTGCTCGGTATCTTTTCGGTGAGGCTGAACAGGAGACTAAACTACTGGGCCCTAAACCCTAAGCCTTAAACCCTGAACACGACGCCGTAGCTCGGAGGGTTGACGGCTAAGTTTGGCTCTTCCCGATCGGCTTGTAACCAGTGGTGTCCTTAGCAAAGCAACGTCGGATCCTCGGAAGACCCCTGTTGAAGCACCTTCTAACAAATCGGGCTAGCAAGTAGAAGCCCAGACGCAGCAGAGGAGCCGATATTCCTTTTCGATGATCAACGCAGTGTTCGCGGATTATTTGACACTCACCATTGTGAAGTATCAAGAACATCAGGCGGGGCGTGCAAATTTCACGTTCCAGGCAGCTTGAGAAGGGAATAGCTCAAGACTTGACAGTTGCTACCATGGTCATGACTTGAGAAAAAACAATGCTACATCCATCTCCTTCATGACCAAAACACGCCATGAGCTTGCCTTACACCTATGTGCTCAACACGACATACAAAATCTCCAAGAGTTGTCTTTCAGCATGGTCGATCTAGCATGGGAGCTCTACGCTTGTCCTAAGTTAAGTTGAGGCACATGAACTGCCTGGTCTCGGAACGTGTTTCTACATACAGGGGTTAGCAATCACAGCGCCGAAACGCCCTCATCTGTCCAGAAGAATCTCCTTCTTTCGTGGACTCTTTGCAAGATGTTGCAAGTGTTATTTCATGGATGCATCCCGTAGCTGCTGGGACGGCCCTGAAACCCCAAGTCTTTGGAGCTGAAGCCCGCAAGAGTTCGGATATGCTCAGCGTTCCAGTTCCGGTTCGAGCACGCCGAAGCTTCGATTTCTAGCTGGACTTGGGATCGTGTGTACAGATTGCACGACGCACGGTAGGAAGTACCACGAACTAGCCTTCATCTCCGTCTTGTCCCGGGTGCAGGAGGAACAACCTTGCAGACCCCTCTTCTCCCCTTTAGAAGGTAAGGAAAGCAAAGGCTTTTGGCGACGCTAGACAACCACCCGTAAACCGAAAAGCAAACAGCTAGAAAAGCACTCAAAAAGAGTAGTAAAGGGAACACCAGCCGAAATAATAGAATGATCTCTGCGGATAGCTTGAAGGCACCGGGCACGGCTGCCTGTGAAACACGATACCGGCGGGGAAGCAACACTCAAGTAACTGAGGAATGATAGACGTATGACAACGCAGGAGTGTGCCTCTTGTTCTCTGTTCCTGCTCCTAAAGGCTTCAAATGCTTCGCTTCTACATAAAGATGCATAGCGAACCTGTCGTTGCATAAGATGACCCAGGGACCAAACGAGTTGCAAACCATGTCCAACCCAACTTGTTCTCGCTGTCTCGGTGCTTTCAAGGGGCTTGTTTCGTCGCGCTGGGCTACACAACGGCCGGCCAAGGATGCCGGCCAAACACAGAGCCACTGCCAATCACTGCCCACGATGCCGAGACACTCTGGGTTCAAAACTGTTGCGACTTCTACACATCTCTTGCTCTTTTGCATTTCAGAGCTCAGGTATTGACTGCGTCACACTGATGGGAAAACTCCCGTCTCGTTGCATCGAGTGGCAAATTGCGCACTTGACGGAAGCTGCAAATCTGCGAAGTTGTGACAGATTTGCAGGTGGGTAGGAAAACTCGAGTAAGGTCCGACGCCGGAGTTATGACTACCAAGTAGGACCCTCCCACCGGCGAAGCGCGAAAGCGGCATGCATCATCCAACCCAGTTCAGCACATTAGCGAAGATCTTGCAACCCAGAGCATTTCTCCAGGCTCACATAGACTATGGCTAAGACCTCGGGGGCACTTTCAAGACGATCTGGCAGTCTAGAACCAAGAACTTACAATAAGGGGTTTCCGGGCGTCTGGTTCCACAAATATGCAACCCATGGGAAGACCAGACAAACTTTCTTTCTGTTTTTCTAGAACCCCATTGTTCCTTGGCTTTACCGGCACCTTCGCATCCGAACGGCCCAATCACCAATAACCCTGTTCCACAAGGTTGGGAGCTGCCGCTCACGCATCAAAACATTCGAGGACAAGCGGTGCCTTTTGAGCCGTGGTGTCTGAGGCTACTGTACAAAGCTGGAGTGAATCACACCAAGGCCACGGGCCACATCGGTTACAGGGCTGGAGACTGCCCACGGCTCTTAGAAGCCCCAGAACCTTCACTGCTGAGCAGACCAGTTCCAGGCCAAAGGCAGAGCTCGGGAAGCAAAGGCAGAGTCAGACAAGCTGCGGGTCTCCTTCCTTGAGTGTGCAACTAGCTCCACTTTGCTGTCCGATACATAGTACTAAAGACAGGATGGCATGTGATAGAAAAAAGTAACGCTGCATCATCTGGAACTGTGACATGCAAAATGCACTAAGGGGCCACATACTGTGACAAGCTGCCTACTCGTGGTGCTCGCAACCACGTACTGATTCAGGGCGACCCTTCTGTCTGAACCAGGACACTTAGCATAGGTGCTGCCCAGGCAGATCAGGGTGAGTGAAGAGGGTACGAGCAGTTTACGGAGTAAGCAACTCAGGAGAAGCAGCTAGGCTTGCCGTCTGTCTTGCTCCACCAGCAGCGCTCGCACGGCATCGGTTCTTCTTTCAAGCTTGCGCTTTCGGCTGGTTCGGACGCCCCGACCCCGAAAGCTGCTACCACATGCGGCAAGCTTGCGTAATGTAACACAGGCGCCTCCTTCAAAAGCTACCGGCAGTTCACTGTGAAATGCAAGGTGCCCGGGCTGGCAGAGGTTGCAGTCGGGAATCGGTTCATTCCTTCGGCCGACAGAAATAGCCTAAGATTAACTGAAATAAGCACTTCTGCCTGCCCTGCACTTGGGTGCAGTCCCCAAGACAGGACTGCTTAGGCGTGCTTGAACTGCGCCAGTTCGGAGATCCATCCTCGGCTGCCATTGTCGAAGCTACACCGAGTCACTGGATCCAGGGGGGCTGTGCTGGCCGAGAGTTGTTTTTGGTCGTGTCGCTGCCGGTTGCTTTTGCGTTTGTCGGTCGCAGTCATCGCACGCATTAGTCCCATCTTTCTCTCTGTTGGTGGTGGCAGGGCTATTTGCTGCATTTGTTGTAGCACTTCTGATCTTGTGATATAGAACTGCCATGACAACGATGACTCAAAGCGTGCATCTGCAATGAGATCAAAGAAGCAGCAAGACAACAGATTGAACAATGAAGCTTGTGACAAGACGAAGAGTTCCTATAGAGGTTGCACATACTGGCGACAACCATGAGCAACGTTCATCCATTGTGGAGCCATGCGACAGCAGCAGTAAGGAGAACGACAGTAGCAGTCGCATCAGATACAATCCGAACATCCGTCACTAGCATACAACCAGAAGAAACAGAATGGTTCCAAAGGCACGGCACAACCAAAGGCATCTGCCGGGCCACGATCACGGCTGGCCTCTGACTCAGCAGCGAACTCACCGGGTGCAAACTCGATGCCTCCGGAGGACGCCAGCTGCACCTGGAACGCCCACCTTTGCTGTGGATATCAGACAGCAGAATGGCCTTCAACTGTTTTTGGGCATTGCTGCCGTCACGGCAGTTGCAAACCGGGCCAGACAACTTGGCCTGAGTAGCGCTTCACGGTAATAAGACCTGCATAATAGGACAGGTGACGGGTGAAAAGTGTCCTCGTTGTCGATCAGCACAAACTTCGCTTGCGCAATGTCGTTCGCTGTGTAGTACACCAGCTCTCCTTGGCTTCGTTGGGGCTCCAGTCTGGAGCGTTCCGAAAGCTCACTGAACCATGACCCGAAGCACTCTGAATTTCATGCAAGCCACGGTCTTCCTTCTTGCTCCAGTAGACCAGGCTGCCTGATGCGAGAGAGAGAGCGTCAAGGGCTACTTCACGCAGCTCGGTAAGGGATCCGGGACCTGGTGCTCGTATGCATCACCCTTCCTCTTTTGGAGTATTCCATCTTCAACCCAGGACACCCCGAGAGCCGAGAGTGAAGCAGACCCAAAATTGCTGCCTTCGCCCGTCCATCTGCAAAAGACCTTTAAAGATGTACAGATGGTGAACCGTTTATAGAGACTGAACTATGATGGGACAAGGCTCCGTTCTTGGCGATCCACATCTCGCGCTCAAACCAGTCATCGACCTTCTTGCGGTCGCCTCCAGCTTGCTATGAATTTCTAAGCAGGCATCGGTACTTACAGGCTTGCAGAAACTCTTCGGCAGCAAGTGCAGAAAATGCGAATGCCTTTTGCGCAGTGTTTTTTTGAGCTCAGCTCCCATGGTTGGAACCCCACAACAAACACCAACCTCGCAGCATCCGACCCTGTCGGCCTCAGCCCACCCCCGACCCCAAGCCCTTATAAACGCCCACGAGCTCCGTAAATAAACCATGAACCGAGAGCTGCAGAAAGACAATCCTAAAGCCTAAACCGTTCCGAGACTCCACAGACTGGCGTTGCGGCATTTCAAAATCACCCATGCCATGACCACATGCAGACGACATGTGAAATCTGCGATCACCATGCAACATGGCATGCCCCCCGATCAATCAATAGCTTTGCGTTCAAACATACCGCTGGATGGTCGATGACGTCTGACACTGTTTTCTGGCCCTCGATGTTGAGGCCCAGACGAACCAGACCTAACTACTCTCACCCCAAGAGCTCCAAGAAGCTACCTATGATCCTGTGTCGCGAAATCCCGCCCAGTTCTTCATCTGCTCTCCTCCTTCCATTTCCCTTAAGGAGACTGGCCTTCTGCTTTGACCTTCCACAGCTTCGCCTTGAAGATGGGGGCAAACTGGTCCTGGCATCCGGCGCTGGAACTATGCCTACGCACCTTCTCCAGCTTCCAGCCGGGGGCTCGGCACCTACACCGGCGATTGTTGTGCAGAATTGGTGGGAGCCCTGCCGTCCTTCGTGTCCTCACCAACCTTCATTCGGCGGTTCTTCACCGCGAGCCTGCCGGTGTGGCTTAAGCATTCCAACGGATGCGGCTCAAACACGAGTTCGGCCACAGCTCGACAAATTTGGTCGTCCTTGCGTGTCGCCGTCATCCTACAAATCATGACACTGCAGCACTCCTAGCTACGGGGAGTGACCGGGCTCTGCATGGACAGGCTCATATGCTAGCAAAACGCATGGGAAAGTTCTGAGAAGTCATGAGGGTCTACTGCCCGAGTCGCCTGAACTGCTTCAGCTCATCGGCCACTGCGCCACCCAAGCGGATGGTCTGCATGGCACCTGTCGGGACAACCCCATTGACGTTAGAAAGCTACAGTACCACCATCATGAGCAGCAGCAGCAGCAGCAGTGGCGACGTCGTCCTACTCCTCCGTGGAATCCTCCTAGCGAGCCTTGAAATCCGAATTCCTGGCCTTTGGAATTTAGTGAGTTGCTAATCCGCTTGGCCAAAGCTTCCCACAAGCCTTCCAGGTTGGAGGCTTGCGACAGCAGGGACCGCCACTTCCTGAGACCAAATCTAGGCGTGCTTCGGGATAGGCTGGCGCGGCAGTGGACAGGCAGCTCACAACCTGTTGACTCGTGCCTTCGAATGACAGTCTGTTGCCTCCCACGTCACCCTGTTGTCTAGCATTGCATCTGTTCGGGTCTTCACGTGCACCGAGGGTTGCGTTTGGCTGCGCATTCTGCAAGCCACGAAGGCTGGTAGCTGATGCTGGAGCATCATGACTCAAACCAACCCGGGGCCGGGCGGCTGGTACTCCTGCTCGGACTCAGCGGAGAAGCACATGGAGATATCCTTCTCGTGGTCGTCCTGAGTCGTGTAAAGGTCGGCGAGAGGGCTCCAGTCTGCCGTGAGAGTATGCTGAATGCCGGTCTGCTCTGCCAGGATTGGCCATGTGCACATACTTGAGGCGCTCGAATGTCTCTACATCACAAGAGTCACATCAAGACATGAACAGTGGCCTCCTCAGTCAGTCTCTGACAAAATCGAATTTGGGTGTCTCTGCTCATGAACAGAATGCTGCGGTGTCCGTAATAAGGCAAATAAAGAAACTTCCCTTACTCCAGGACACCAGGCTAATGCCCCATGTTGCGCAATCAACAGTCTTCTTGCAGGGCCCTCCATTGTCGGAGCCGCACCGAATCACTAAGCTGCAGATCCGAGCCACGCTGTTGACACAGTCGAGCCGGAAAGCCTGAGGCCGTCACAGAATCGAAACATGGAAAATAAAACAGATATGCCTCGAGATGCAGAAGTCCCTCGGTCGGTCGGTCTGTCTCTGCCTGTCTGGCTTGCTGTCTGGCCGTCTGTCTCTCCTTCTCCGTCTATGTATGTGTAAAGGCATCTGAATAGCATGTGCATGTGAAAAGACAGAGAGAGAGAGAGAGGGAGAGAGAGAGAGAGAGACGGACGGACGGACGGATGGACGGACGGACGGACGGACGGACGGACAGACCAGACAGACAGATAGAGACAAGACAGAGACAAGACAGAGACAACACAGAGACAAGACAGAGACAGCGACAGAGACAGAGCAACCAACCAACCTGAGGAAGCAGGCATCATTCTGCAGGCCATGGCACAAACTCGCGCGCAGCGTTTGGCAGCGTGGTGACCTGCACCGCCGAAGCCATGGACCAGAGTACAAGGGCTTAAGGCTTCAAGGCAACCATAGCAATGCACCTTCCAGGATTTGAGCTTTGCAGTGACACTGCATGGTGAGTGCACTCAGAACCCCTGCCTGTGGTAGCTTGGCAAGCAAAAACCGAATGGTGGCCGTCGATCAAAAAGGCATTCGTAAGCATGCCGGGTGCACCGTTTGCGTAGCTAGCCACGTTGCTCCATTCCATGCTATGTGACTCTGTTCAACAACCTTTCTTGCATGTTGTCAACTGCTGTAAACACCACAGGTTCAGACTCACAAGCCTTGGCACCCGAGATTTTGATACCATCCAGGAGAACCAAGCGCTTGTTCTCCTTGATGCTGAAGTAGCACAGAGAGCCGTCCTGAAAGGCTCTCGAGCTGGGATCAGAGGCGCTTGGACCCAAGTTCCCCTAAATGGGCTTCTGGAAGAAGGGCTCCTCTTCTCTGATTAAGGCCTCTTTGGAGGTCTGTCTTGCCTTGAAGCTTAGGTGACCCCGAAGACGAACTTGGCCGGGCGACGCAGGCGACCCACATGTCTCGCTTGAGCCAGTGCGTGGCATCTTCTGCCTTGCCATCCTCGGAAGCCGGTTCTGGGAGGATGATGAAGGTGTGGTTGAAGACTTTCCTTTACGGATGTCCTACATCATCATGCCCTCTGGCCCACGGAGACAGTTCAGGGGCAGTTATAGCTGACCGGGATGCCGAGGAGTGTGTTCGGTAGGTAGGATGCCGGAGCAGATCTCTCCAAAAACCCGGGAAGGCCCGCGAAAAGGCTCTCAAGCCGTGTTCGCGCAGAGACGCTGTGTTGAGCTTCCACAAGGTGCCCTTGTAGAGCGGAGCCTGCGAGCTTTGGCTCTGGCTCTGGCTCTGGGAGAGTCTGGGAGGACTTATCCGAACTTTTCAGGCTTGAGTACTGCATCATGCGCAGCAAGGGCGTTCGTGAGCGAGCGAGAGTGTGAGAGCAAGGCTACGGTATCGGCTGGCTGTGGGCTGGACTGTCAAGGCTCAGGACTCGCCACAAGGAAGTTTCAAAGAGAGACCCTGCAATCTTAATCTTGGAGCCACAACAAAGCTTCGACGAAAGTATTCAGAAAATACGGCACCTCTATCTCATAGAAGCAGCCTACAGAGGAATCAAGCTCAAGAAGAGTCCTAAGAACGAAGACGGGTTGTTGTCAACAACTTCGGGTTCACTCCACTCGGAGACTGGTTCGTGCCTTAGCTGGTCTGCTCGATATAGCTTTCGCTTGAAGTTGAGTTTTGGATGAAGGCCAACTCGGCTTTGAGTTTCAGACCTGGTCTTCTTGCCAGCGTTCGTTGTGCACTTCGGGTGATGGCGCAACTGTGCGATTGCTCTCGAGGCTTGATCACCAAACTTACATCCCTCAGACGTCTCACACTGAAGACCCAGATCTCAAATCCCAAGAACGGCCCCTTCTCTCCCGGATTCGTGGCCGCGTGGCCTTGCTGGAGGTGTCCTCGAAGCGCTGCCGAGCCTGTCGAACAACCTTCCTCGGAGAGCGGGCTGACGCTTCCGCCGCTTTTTTGTCTGGAGGCGTCAAAACTCAGCAGCCCGTGCCCTGTGTTTTCGTCATCTGCCTAAACAAAGAATTCGATGCAAGTGCCGTTATTGAGTATCACTGATGTTCGCTTGCACTGGCACCTCAAGTCGCGAGAGTAGCTGGAATCTGCAAAAGATACACTCGTTCTGCGAAACTCAAGGACAGCAATGCCGATCCACTTGCGCCCAGGTGCTCGCCACCTGCAAGCACATCACGGCTTCTTCAAGGCTCTTGGGGACCCTAGGAATCCGAAACCCTAAACCCTAAACATCCCTAAACCCTAAATCCTGTCCATGTCTGGCCTTCCAGCTCTGTCGACTCAGCTTTCCCGGACTCCACGACGTATGGGTCGGAGAGGCACTGGGCCAGCGACTTCCTGGAAAAGGGGCTCACGGCTCCCACTGGGGCCTTGAGGCCCACACGTCTGAAAGTCCTCTAAACTGGACTCGAAACTTTATGAGATTTTTTCCGGTGATTGTGCAATTCTCCTGACATGTTCCCGAACTTCGTGGCTCCTCTTCGTGAGGTCGCAGACCAGAAGGGACTCCACCTCACCCCGGAATTTGCGGGGTTGGGAGCTCTGAGACTCAGGTAAAGATACCTCACAGGAGGTGCCTCTTATCCCGATAAATCAAAAGCCATCCGTCAGAGGTACAATAAGCTTGTGGAAGTCGCGGTCGAATCGCTCGATGCTCTTGGGAACCGGCGCACGCCTTAATGTGCCAGGCATGGCCTGCTGTGGACTAGAAGTGAAGAGTCGGAGTTGGGCCGTCGGGCACTGGGACTACTGACTCGAGGAGACAGGGTCAGTGCAAACTGCTAAACCCTGAAGCCTAAAGGGTGCTACGCGCACGTTCCGCATTTCGAAAGTTGCACGTGCCATTGTTGAGATCCTTGTCAAACGGTTGCGTGCCTTGCTTTGAAGATGCTCTGAGCCGTCTCTAGTCTTGAGACTGCCAACGCTCGGCAAGCTCTAGGATTTGGGGAATAATTATTTTGTGATTTCGCCGTGATTCGGGTCTGTGATTTCGTTGTGATTCCCTTACCGTCTGTGATTCTCTCTGTGATTTGTCTGTGACTTGGCTGCGCTTTGGCTGCGCCTTGGCTGTGATTTGGCCGTGATTCGGGAACGCGCCTCCGCAGCCAAATCACAGAAAAATCACAGGCACAATTGCAAATCACAGAAAAGTCACAGCAAAATCGGCGGCACTTTTTTCGAAATGCAACCTAAGACAAGTCTTCTGATATGGAGACTGCACACATGTTGAACGCTGGTTCAGATTCCATAGCCAGTGTGAGACCAGTGGTCCACTGACTTGTACATTATACCCTTTGAGCATCGCCACTCACAAATCCAGCAGATTGATCCTTACCGAATAAGGCTTGGCACGTGATGTGGCCAAGCCAGTCCATGAAGAGGAAACCTTGCCAGGACAGTGTGGTTTCTGAATCCTGCAAATGCACCGGTTTCGTGCGGCAAGTTGCCCCGCCTGCTTCCCGGTGCGAGTGCCCGTTGCGAAGGAAGTTGCCGTACATGGGCTTCAAAATCGCATCCAGCCTCGCAGGCTGTCGGGCTGTGCTTTGCACTCACCCTTGGAGGCGGCCTTTGTCATGTCGACTCCCAACAACACTGTAAGAGTTTGCGGACAAGGCACGTCACGAGCTCGCAAAGCGTGATGCCAATGCTCCAAACCTTAATGGTTGAATATCCGCATGCAGCGCTATGCGTGAGTGAGTACGGACTAAGGTTGCCACGTCCAGGTGGGGCTTGGCGATGATCTTGGACTCAGCCTCATCGATCAAGAACCTGCAGCACCGAACGAATCGAAAGCGTTGGCTGAACACTCTTCAGCGTGCAGTCATCCAGCCCGACACGCAGGGCAGGAAAACGCTGCACGCAGTGACCCCGCATGCCAAGACAGCTCAACAAGCTCAGCGGGATGGAGAGCAAAGTAGCAGAGGAGTCTCATTGAAATGTTCCTACAAGGCCTTCGGGAGTGCACTCAGGCTGCCGTTGGTGGGGGAGCGGGGGGCTACTTACTGCGTGCTTTGGGCAGATTCTTAGGGTGGTGACGGGGGTCTCGGACAGTCCGAAGATATCCGAAGGAATTGAAAATGAACGTCTCCTAAACCTAATTGGGCAGAATGCCCTTGTGCGCGAGAAGAAGCCCTTGACATGATACAGTATGGTGCTACAACATCCTTGCCCAGTGAAAATGACACGATCATCCAATCTTCCGTTAAGCGAAGTGTTTCAGGACGAACCGTTGAGTCAGGACGTTTCCAAAACCAAGGTAGACTCCTGCTTGTCAATGCGACATCTGCTCTAGAACCCTACTGGTGCCGATCAGTGGCCGCCTGAAAGCCTACTCCATCTACCACTTCAGTGGGTAAGACGGATGTGCTATGAATCCCAATCACGCCGACCTGGCCCACTCTGGCGCGCAGTAGCACGGCGAGAAAGAGATGGACGAGTCGTTGATAGAGACTTCACCTGATCTGCTGGAGCACAGCTGCTTTGTCGAGGGCTTCTTGTTGCGGAACAGCAGATTCAAGACATGCGACTACCGACCACCACCAGGGACGGCTAGGCTCTAGACAACTACGAAAGAACATGTCTTGTCACTCAGCTCGCGCCACGAGCTTCGCCGTGCAAATCAGGACGAGGAGCTGTCGATGGGAACGCAGCCGTCCACATCGATGAGCTTCAACCGCCCGTTAAACCTTCATAGCAGCAACGTAGGGCCGAAAGAACTTCTCGGAAAGCCCGAGCATCGCCACGGGGCAAGTATGTCAAATTCTGCCAAGGTGCATCATCAAGTTCTCGGGCTTCAAGTCCTCGGCTTGGCTCTCTTAGGCTGTCGGCCGCGAACGCAGGCATCCCCGGTGCAATGCCACCACGGAGCCAAGTGGACGAGACCCTTCGCATGGAGCCCGGCTACTACGAGGAGGATGGCGCGAGCGCAGGCCTAGCCGGCTGGACAACAACCCTTCAAAGCGGGGAGTCCCGAGGATTACGTAGGAAACTCATCGAGGCGCTCTAGACTCTAGCCTCTATTCGGTTGCCGCTGTGGAAAGCCTAAGCTTGATTCTGGTGCTACAGATGTCCAATACCAAGTCCCGATACCAAAAGCCCGACAACGAGCTGGTATTTTCCCCTTTTTCAGTCAAGGGTGGCCTTGATCGACTCGCGGGACAGCGGCTTGTTCTTCTCCCTCTTTAGCGCGAAGTAGTCCTGCTTTCTGGCTGGACCCTGACGGGAGGGTCTATCTTTTTTGGCTTCTAGCTTACGATACTTCCTACACGTGAGGCTGTCAAGAAGTCAAGTGCAAAGTCATGCCAATGTCACATGTGGCATATCAGGTAACACCCTGTTGCTTGCAAACAACCAACATCTCGATTGCGGCTCAGGGCCAATAATACTGTGCGAACAACCCAATTTCGCTCATCTACAAGTCATCGATAAGTTCAGACTGCCAGCATTTTCGCGGCATTGCAGCGTGCGTTCACATGTCCGTTCCGACGACTGCCGCTACACAGGGTACGGTTCATGATGGTGCTTTACACATCACACTGTGTGATGACAGCGCGCGATACATTCATGCATTTTGCACCGCCATGCCCTGAACGGCTGGTCTCCGCAAATTCTCAGTCGCTTGGCCCCTCTTCGCTTGCTGGGAGTCCCGGTGGAGCGAAGTCTTCTCACAGAGAACTCTGGCACTCCGGCTAGCCCAAGCAAACCAGACGAGAAGGTTGCCGCTTGTTGGCTTTGGCACACATTTCCGGACTGATACAAGCACGAGTAGTGGAGGCTCTTGCATCATGCACCAGCAAAGTAGACGACGTCGGCGTGCAGAGCCCGCAGGCTGTCCTGTTGCTGGTAGCCAACAATTCCACTTGCTTCGAGGGCGACTTTGATTGACACCCACAAAAAATGGGGCCGCCATCGACTATCTCCGCCGGATCTTCACGGCGACCCATGTCCAAAGGCGTCTGGATGTCTTCAAATTCAGCTGAAACTTCCAAGCCTATGCCGTGCAGTTTGCACTGCTTGACCGTCTCCTTACGCGGCAGTCGCATCTTGTCTGCCAGCGGGAGTTCCCGGGTTCCTGTCTGCAGGTACCGATGGAACTTTGCCTGAAAATGGTGAAGCATGTCTCGCGCGGCCTTCATGCGAAGGGGCCAGTTCTGCCTGGAAGCGTTGACAATCAGAGACGACAGGCGCCGGTACCAAGCCACCCCCTGCGGCTTGCTGCCAGTTGATGATGTCCCTTGGGAGCCTGGGAGCTGCTTCACTTGCCCAAAGTCGATCCACTGCAGCTCCCACAGAAAACTGCTGGCCTGCGGTGCGGCATCTTGGACGTCATCGTCGTCATCGAAGTCTGTCAGAGTCTCCTCCTCGATCTCATCTTCAATTGAAGTGTCGGGTTCCGAGCTAGTGTACTTTCTGTGGTGCCTGTCCAGCCGTTGTTGATTTTTGTCTCACGTAGTCGTTGACCTTGTCCTTGTATTCCTCAATTTTGCCCTCAAGATTCTCCTTGTAGTCCTTCACCTTGTCCACGCACTTCTCTTTGAGCTTATCTGCCGTCGATTCTGCTTTTTGAAGTCTGTGGCCACAACATCCAGTGGGGTGTCATAGAACTCCAGAGAATGCATGCTTAGAATTGCCTAGGCATTTGTGTGGAGCAGCAGCCAGGAGGCGTTCTCACAACAATCGTGTAGCTTGCCATCCACAGCACACAGCACCTGTGCTCGCTCACCTCTCGTGCTGCCCGGGCAAGCCACACCAGAGGCCTGTAATGCCATGTCTGTCATGCCAACACGAGTTCAACAAGATGTCGGCAGTTGCCGAAGCGGGCGTGCAATTTTGTGCCTCATTGGTGAAATTCGTCGCATCGTACACTTACACACACAAGCGCATTGGAACTCGTGTCTCTACTAACCGACTAACCATCTCCAGCGCCTTCGTGGTCCTCCTTCCAATCTTCATCGCAGCCAGCAGACCCCAACCCGATGTTACCATGTGGCTCGCAGCCTTTGCAGCCCTGCAAGCTGCACTGCGCTCTGATCCCGCTCGCAGGCAGTCCGCAGTCCCTCACACGGAGTTCTCTCAGATCACGTTACACGCTGCTCCATTCAGCCTGGACCGCTCTGCGCGATTCCAGCTTCAATCTTGGGTAGTCTCATACATTCCGAAAACTCGTGCTTACCGGTGTCCCTGCAACATACCAGGTCAGCGGTGGACGCAAAGACACGCAGGCCAGCACCGAGGCCGGGAGGTCCGTGCTCGACATCTCTGTTCCAACCGGGCCGAAACTGCACGATTGTCAGGTCCGGCACGCCAAGTGGTCACATCCTCGCACAGCTGCCGGAATTGGAGCACAACGACCTTGGCGGATGCTCGTAGAAGCACGCAGCCCCAGGTTCTGCTGCTTTCAACGCAGAATCACAAGGCTCAGGCTTACAGAAGATGCCAAGGTACACTCCTGGAAGTCCAACAGCTTAGACTGGGGAACAACTCCTGTCAGGAAGATTCTGGAGAACGTGGTCAGCGCGAGGAGCCATGGACTCAAATCCAAGACGCCCCATGTCCTGAGCCTCACGTAGACATCGCCAGAACCAGCTCAAGGCCGCGATCGCGAATCACGTCCTCCGTTCTTACCACCTGACGCACTGCCACAGCCCCAACCACTGTCACCATCACAACCAACAGCCATCACCACTCAGCAACAGTCGAACAGCGATCGGCATCGTCATCACAAATAAGTTGCGGATTCTCCCTATGCTGCATGCCGCGGCCTTCTCGAAGCACTTTCCTTGCAAATAGGCCGACAAAGCTGCCTCGTAGACGAGCCTGCATCGAACAGACGGGACTGAAGATGACTGAGCCTGGCGTTTAGCTGGCGGCCGTGTTGTGACCTGTGGCACAACGACTGGACAAGACCTAGGCAAACGGCGCCAGCATCCTTCTTTAGGCTTTCGGCTTAATGCACCCGTTTGAAAAGCACTCAAGTTCCGGTCGCGGCTTCAGCCCAAAAAGTGTAGCAAACTAGCTGAGTGCATCCAGGTGGCATGTTTGGCCTGTGCTGCGCATCTTCCATCTCCTGCGCCGGCGTCGGCCGAATCATCCCGAATCTCCTTGAGAGGCCTTTTGAGTCTTTGAGCGTTTCGTGAGGCCCGTGAGGCCCTTTGAACGGCCTCCAGGAGCTGCAGCGCCGCAGCCCAGGCGCCAGCCGCGGCGGCCGCGGCGACGGCGGCACCGAAGCCGAGTGCATCCGGCAGAAGCCGCTGCCTGGGAGCTCTAAGACGTCTGCCTATATAGGATCTCCTTCACCTCTGTGGGGAGCGACAGAGGCCCCTGCCCTCGCATCGCCGACAGGACTTGCAACGTCTGCTCCCAGCGGCCGCCTCTGCAGGCTGTCCCACTCGCACAAGCACTTCTGAAACTTCTGGTACTCGAGTTTGAAAATAAGAGCTGTCGATAGCTGTCGTGTCCGTTGGGGATCTTCTCACAGCTAACCAGCTTTCTGTTTGCAGTGATTCGGGATGCCTACCATGTCGAAACAAGCCCATCAGAAATCCAAAAGTCTTCATCGCCAGCCTTGACGTTTGGTACGAGGTCTCAAAAAGTAGGCTTGGGACTGTAGCAAACCTTCTCAAAGACGTTGCGTGCGCACCTCGCTCACAGGCCGCAGCGACGGCATTGAAAGCAATGAGGCCGGGGCACCAACCTTGCCATGCCAACTGGCCAGAAAGGGTCCCAGAGTCTGTAGTCTAGGACTTCTTGAGAGTACTTCTCAACTTTCTTGTAGGCCTTATTGGGGCCATGACTGCATGATGACGGATCCAGCACCCGGCCGCTAGCTGGCACGCACAAAAGAAGCCCAGGATTTCACACCATGGATGTCGGATGCTAACAGGAAGGGCTTCGGGATCCGAGGTTTCTGGGATTACTATCGCAATCCTCCTGCACTGCTCAAGGGACGATGACTACGAAAAACAGCACTGCAGCGGATGTTTTTCCGCAGCTTCTCGTTTTAAAATGGGCTCATGGGCTCCTACGCCCTGGCCCTACGACCTACGCAGTCGCCTGGCTCCCACAGCACCTCCAGCGCGAGCTGCCAAGCTCCGACCTGAGGCAACGGCATTTTTTCCGAAAGATCTCATGACATAAAACTGTTACAAGAGGAAGAGGCCCTAGACTTCACAGCCGTATTCTGGGAAGGTAGGTGTGGAGAGGAACAGTTCTGATAACACCACGAAGCCTACAGACTCTCATAAGCGTGTGCCATTTTTTGTGTTTGGTCTCAATCGGGGGCGCGAGTAACAAGCGTCAAGTTCCTCGCCAATGGGGCACGACTATCCGCGAAACGACACTTCCGCAAAACTGCCTTCTCCGCAGCAGAGCACAGGGCACTCCTGCATCAAAGAGCTCAATAATGCATCTTGGGCCACGCTCACAGCATGTTCTACGTAATGTGAGAAAAAAGTTTCTCTGTCAAGAGCACCCGCGGTCCAGGTGACAACGTCCGGGACCAGCCCCCGCCGCTGCATCGAAAGCCTTCAGCGGTGAGGCAAAGAGTCGGAGGAAAGGCGCCAGCTGCTGCTCTGCATTAAAGAAACATTGCGCATCCCACTGCAGTCAGGGCGAGTCGCAACTGCTCGATGCCCCGCTCCCACGCTCGTCCCTGGCAGCTAAAAGGTTTCGGGGGAAGCTCAGAACTGACTTCATGCCGCAATGCTTGGCTATGCTTGGCTATGCCTGTGCTGCTTGGGACAGTCATGAGGGCGAACTCCGGACGCTGAAGCAATCCTCTTTATGTCACAAAGTCCACATGCCTTCTCGATCGCACTCAGCGCGGTGTTGAAACCTTGCCACCGAGAAGTCACGTCGGAAGTCTTACAGGAACAATGTTGCGCTTCTCAGTGGGCTTGTCTACTGAACATGCCTTGCCAAGACCCACTGCTACAGCCGCTAGGTTTGATTCGACATTGAGTATGATGCTGTCGGCCGCAAGCTCATGACTTCGAGGATTCTGCGTGCAGGATCTGACGGCCGCCCTGCTAGCGATTTTTGGAGGTAGCATCAAACAAGCTAGTCAACGGCTGGTCTGTCCCCGAACTTGCTTCCAGGGTGTTCCTGGACACTCTGACGCCAGATCAATGGGCTCAAACAAGATCACGACTTGATGTCTCATGCCAAAAGCCGTAAGCCTCAATGTCTGTGCGCACACA